TACTTAGCAGAAGGCTCAGCCCGGCTAAATACGTGATATTACATTTGTCTGTTTGACTAATTTCACTTTGCTAGACGAAAAATATGAACGAAATAATGCTTTTTAATCATTTAAAATAGGCTACAAACAATTGCGAGCTTTCACTGTTGGAAGTTATTTCGTAATTTAACAAAAAATGTCCTTTTAATTTTTCTACACGAACTCTTCGTTATTTTAAAGCAACGAATACATTCGTAAAATGACGAACAGTTTGTAACTCGGTTGCTGTCTTAAAAAACTATCCTGGACACAAGAATTTTTGAAAATAACATTCTAACATTCTAATCAATTGGCACTATTAAATCGTGATGTTACAAATAGTTTGTTTTATACCACTCCGAACAGTTCGTAACCAAAATTGACGAATAATACTCGTTAATTTTAATTACGAACTATTCGTGACGGATTTTTATCGTGAAATGACGAAAATCATTAACAGTGTTCGATCGATTAGTTAATCCATAAATATTTGTGGATTAAAAATCGCCATCATGGCTGCTCCGGCTCGGTACTGGAGGGTGCAGGTTAAGTCACAATATTATCCATTTTCACCCGGTATTACATTAGTAATGAGGCTGGCAGAGTGTTAAAAAGTATTCCTGGATATTAATATATACTTTCTTTGATAATTATTCTTAGTCTATATTTGTCTCTCATTCTAAGATCTTAATTGTAAAATAGTCATAGCACACGCCTTAACAGTTGACGACTACACGGTATGAAAAATATCGCGGTCACCTCAACTCCCCAGTTGAACCAGTCACGTGACCCGTACGACTCTTTCACTCTGAGGCTCTTTAGGTGCGGGCGGTTGGGGGCTGAAGCTGTGGGCTTAGGGCGGCTGGGCCGGGACGGTCCACATCTCATTCACTACTTCTGGAAGACTCACCCTTCATGACTGTACTAGTAATCTGACACATCTGTCATTTCATTTCTTATTAATGTCAGTTATTGTCTAAAATGTTTTAAATTAATCATGTGCCAAAAAAATCGAAACATCAAATGTAATTTTTAAGTTTTTTTTCTGTTCGTGTGGAAGGTTAAGAGATGCACTACTTATATACCACCTATGTCCGCGGGTACCTATCAAAACGCTTAATGACCATTACTTATCACAAGCTTGGCGCGACCACCTATCTCTAGCCCGCTGCTGCGGTTTGCCACTATAAAAGTGTGTTCTCAGTCCCGAAACTGCCACGAACCGTCCCCTCAACGCCACCGTCAGGCATATGCGTGTCACCACGTGCCTGGGGAGAAGTAGTACTACAGTAGAAGTGTGCAATATGTTTCCGGCTGGAGAAGAGTTCACATCAAGTTTACCTAAATATGTACTCAGCAAAGTTAATTTGGCTAATTTGACTTAGGAATATACTTTAAGTATGCTTTTTGTGAACTTTGCGATGAACGCGACTCATCAGTTCAAAGAGAACACATGGGCCACTTGTCGTGGAGTTGTACATAACCTTAAGCGAATTTTAAACATTAAATAATAAACATACTTCACACTTCATTTAATAAAAAAAATGTTTTGCAATTGCAAAGTATTGCTTCGTGTTCTTGAAAGAATACAAATCCTTGCTGGCCGCCATCGTCGCCCACGCAAGGGAGCGTTCGCTCTCGCTTTACCCCCCCCCCCTCCCCTCGTTTCCCCTCTCTCCCCCTTTCTCTCCGGGGACGCGTGGTCTCGGTCTCCAGGGGCAGCGCTTGACTCCCTTAAATAGGAAATCAAATGGGGTAGCGGATGGCGGATGCCGGCGCTATAAGGTCGGGCACAGTCAGGGTCCGACAAAAGTCAAAGTGCCTTTCTGTTTGGTAGACGATCCCATTGGCGTCGGTTACGTATACCGGACAAAATCTCCAATATCAGTGCTTGCTGCGCGCGCGGGAGGGGGGGG